TTGAGGCGCCAGCCATAAATAAATTTAACCCCCCCATTGTGTATGCAAAAACGGTTTGTCCTTACGCTTAGCCTACCCTGGTAATGCTTATTTTATCGTATTACCAAGATTGTCTTTAAATCTTATATTCTTTTCCTCTCATTATCTTTCTTATTAGTGAATTCCTTTATGTCATATTTGTCCTTCCCCCACTTCCAATTTTCATGTATAATGCCTTAACAAGTAAATGTGTGCGGGATCAGATTGTTCAAAATGTATAGCACAAATACATCATATTTTTCAGATAATCTACGTCTTCTAATTACATTATCCAAATTCATAAAAGGGACTAATTGTTTCAAAAATAAGGTATAGTAGAGATTTCATATTTAGTCGTAGGTGCATAAAGTCTTATGTACTTGCTCTGGGTGTTGCCTGAGGACCGACACATAGATAGCTTTGAGTGAAGAAGAAGCTGATCATGTAATAAAATAGCTTCTGTCAGATGTCTACATCAGTTAAGATGTTTGTTAACAATAGTTCCACGTAGAAGGTATAGAGGTACACCACTAGTTCTGCTGACAATCTTCAATACACAATACAACAATTTTTTTTCAACAACGTGGGAAAGAATAAAGGGGAACAATAGAGGCTAATCCGCAAGATACAGGCGTTAATAAAACGAAAGAGGAGAGGCTGAGTTATACTAGACACTCAAGCGGTAGATTCCTTTGAAAATTAATAACATGTAGATCAGATCTCATCCTGGATTACACTACAGGTCACTGACTAACTGCTCCTTTTTGATCGCGGGAATTTAGTGAACTGGGCTCGAATTTTTCAAGTAACATCAGTTTCTTAAAATTGATGAATTTCAATGAACATCCAGCTATAGAGCATCGCGTAGTGTAGATTGCTTAACAACTACCTGGTATCAAACTCAGGATATAGCAAAAATCAAGTCCCCCTAACTCAGTAGTCATATTACAAATTCTATCGATGTAATTTAGCTTCTACTGAAAATAAAGATCAGCTATATTTGAGTTAATATTTGAGAGAAGTTATCTGTGAAAGTGAATAGTTTTCAGATGTTCTTATCTATTTCACTATAAGTTAATTACTTTATAGTATGAAAGACAGACATGAATATATCGCATATCTGATGTCGGATCACTCATCATCAATTCTCGGGTTCCATTAGTCCAACTTTACAGAGTGGCGAGGGTTGACACTGCTAAAAACTATACCATTTTACTATTATTGTTGTTATTATTATTTTCCCTTGTTTTCCTAGTGGAACATAGGGCTTCAGTAGCACGCCTCCACTGCACTCTATTCTGGGTTCCACTCGACGGTTTGGCACGTGATGTCCCCAATCCGCCCTGCTCAGTCTATGCCTAATCCAATCCATCTCCACTTTCTTCTGCATATTTGTTGAACGATAGGTTGTTGGTTGGTTCGTTGTCAGCCACAGTGAGTTCTTGTTGCTTATTCACATTATTCTGACCATCTGATCTTCAGTGTCAGTATCGTGTGAGCGTTGGTGGAGGTGTCGATGTATGTCTGTAGTTTGTTGAACATGGTTTTCGTAACGCACCAAGTCTCTGAAGCATCACATTGAAGCAGTGACTTGACTGAATTAGTGTTGATAATCCAGATGTTGTTCACGCTTTATGCTGAGTGGAGTGGAGTGGAGTGGAGTGGAGTGGAGTGGAGTGGAGTGGAGTGGAGTGGAGTGGAGTGTAGTAGATCTCCACACTGGTTTCAGACTGAAGAAAACCTGTCTTGCTGGCCTTTCGATCCTAACTTTGACATCGTCATCTGTTCCCCTCCCTGTAGTTGGTTGGAACGATGCTGTCTAGGTAGGTGAAAGAGACAACTTCATTCAGGTTCCCCCCGTTGATGGTGATTGGTGCTTGTTTTTGTTGATGTTGTTGTTGTTGTTGTTTTGGGGGTGTATGTTCATCACCTCAGTCTTTTCTACATTCACTTGAAGTCCCGTCTTCGCTGCTGTGACTCTTCTGTCAACCAGTTAGTTTTCGTCTGTAGATCTTCGAGTTTGTGCTTGAATATATTAGACATAAATCATCATCGGCGGTGAGATCCAAATCTTCTTCTGGGTTTTTCCATCAGTCTTCTGAAACAGCGTTATGCCCCTCTTCTCACTCTTCACAGTTTGTTGCATGATTCAGTCTAGTCCAGTTCAGTGCAGTCCAGTGGACCCCAATCAGGAAGATGATCGGTGATAGTAGGTGGCAACGCCTTGTCTTACTCCTGTGTTCACTTCAAAGGCATCACTGAGCTGAACTTTCTATTGTGAATCACTTGGCATTTAGCGTGGTTGTATAGCTGTTGAGCGAGGTTGATAGGGTTTTGTGGCACTGAAACCGTAGTGTTGAAGCAGCTGCCTGACAAGTTACTTGTTGGTCGACACTGTTGAAGTCCTTTTCAAAGTCGATGAAGTTGAGGCAGAGAGTTGACTGCCATTCTATACTGTGTTCTATGATGATGTGTAGCGTAGCGTTGCAATTTGATCCCCGCATGATTCGTTTTCCTTGAAACCGACTAGCCTGTTCTAGTTGTAATTTTGAATCCAGTGCATTCTTTAGTCTCTCCAGGATGATGCATACCATTTTATAGGGAAGATTGTATGTTCGTTAATAAACCTGATTAGTGTATGACCAACAAATATATCAACATGATACGAATTCATTTCACTTTATGGATCGACTTCAGTTACTTTGAATCTATAGCAATATAAAGATGTATGTGGGACAAAACATAGTAAATTCACGGACGTGTTTGAATCAACATGAAGTTACTGATAGACACAAAATTAGTTAGAATGAATTAAATTGTGAAATGTTTGACAAGACTTTATTTTTATTTTGTGCGATAAACAATGAGTGGTATGGTGTTACTAGGGTATCTGTTTACAGGATACTTAAAAGAATATTGTGAAGAAGATAATGGTGACAAGGATTGACTGGGAGAGGGAAATTCGTTTCATGGATTACACTAAAATACTAGCAAACTGAGCATAGTTCAGATAAGAAAAGTTAAGAACAATTGAAATCGATTATTGTAGACTGTAAGTGGTGTGACTCGAAACCGATGGCAGTTACACAAATGTGTTCCCGTACTATCTATATCTTAGTCGCTCGCTACAAATCGCATTTGTTTGTTCGCTTTACGCCTCGTATTCTGTTGTAACCTTTCGCGGCTTTTGGTTACATCTTTTTTGTTCTATTTCCCTTTCTGTCGTCTTGTTCACCTGTATCTTGGTGAACTATGATGTGAGGTATAACACTGTAATTCTAGATCGGTCCTATGGTCAAAGTGACTGAGCTGGGGGTTGGGGGTGGAGAATTGAAATGGTTGGAAAGAAGAGAGCAGAGAGTAAATTAAGGCATAAAATAACAGTAACGTTATGCACTAAACTTTGGATTTATTTGGGGAAATACAATTACCGAAGCAGTGCAACACTGACAAATGCATCTATTACGCTGAGAGTAACTTTCAGTTTGCTTTAATCAGAAGTAATTAACTGAGACTCAATTTTTTGTTCGTTCCTTTATGCAATTTCAAAATGTTTATGTGGTATTTGGGACGAAATTTGCCAATAAATGTTCACACTGTTACGTAATCCTAAAGGTCATCCTATCAACAACTGAGGTAACCAATAAGAGATTTGTATTTTCTGAAAAAACTATTTTTCCAGTCAAAATCGTGAAACCTAATTGGTTATTTTAATCATTACCATGGTAGCCTTTAAGTCATCCCACGCTGGAAGTAACTTTAAAGATCAGTCTGATAACTATTGAAATAGCCAATTCGGTTTCTGTATTTCATGAAAAATTACCAGTCCAGTCAAAATATAGATGTCTACTTGATCATTTCCATAGTTGTTAGGATGACTTTTAAAATTATTCTAACAACTGTAGTATAGTGTATATGTTATGGCTACAACCAAACTCATCTTCTCATTTGTTATAGCTACATTGAGCATACTGACTTGATTCGCAAAATTATGACTTCTGTTATGCAACACACTGGTAACTATTTCCTGTACACACCTCTGATTACATGCCTAAAAGTTACTAACGGAATATAAGGAGAAAGGAGATATCTACAATATCTTAACCCTAGTTTTATTTAAAACTAACATCTTTTGCAATAGCTCAAAAAAAGCCACTTACACTGTCCTACCAACTGATTTCTCTGTGTTTTAAGACAGAACAGCAACTAATCGAAAGGAAGATTATAAAAATAGCTACTCCAAAAAATAATATAGCTACTTGTACTCATGAAAGAAATCCATTGAAATACAACTACTGTGTATGTTCACTGTCGCTTTTTTCTCCTCATCTCCATCTAACATGATCCGCATAATTTCCATTTCTTTCTATATCAACGCTGTTTCCTTGTTTTTGTTAATAATTTTTTGTTAGCTTGATGAAAGCACGTTCGCATATTTTCGCTATATGCATAATAATATTTTTTTTTCGCCTATAAGCAGCAACACGTGAAATAAACACTGGATAATAACTTTAAAGATCAACCTAACAACTATACACGTCATAATCACATTGTCTTCGACCCATGTTAAGATTGTTTCTTTTGCACGAAATAACCAAGTATTTATCATCACTTTGACTATCTGAGCAAGATAGCTGTGGTTTAGCAGACTTGTATTGATACTGGGTGATGATTGAATGTAAGATGAAAACTTGGGTTGTGGCACGATTCGAACCAGCAACCACTGGGTTTTCGATCCGCTGCTGTACCAACTGACCTGGTGATTGAAGTGAGATAATAATCTAGCGGTGCAGTTGGGTTTGGTAACCTATTTGGTAGAACACTAAGCTGGAAATCTCGGCGGTCGTTGGTTTGAATCCTATAGTGGCCTAAATCTTCATCTCACCTTCGATCATCAGCCAGTCTCAAGTATTTAATGTCATTTTTCCTTAAAGATATTCACACGTATTTTAGATGACTAGTTATTTTTTCATCTCTTCCAGTTATTTGAACGATTTATGCAAAATGAAAATGGTCAAAATTTAATTCGACAATGGATACTTCTTTCATTCCCTACTCTTTTGAGTCGTCAACCGTCTGATTTAGCCATATGGGCTTGTACTGTTTGTCTGTTGGCTGCAGCTACTGATCATAAACTACGAGCAGCGTATCCTTTATATGTATATGTCTACACTCATTTATTTTAAAAAGTATTTATGACTAACTTTTAGTTATTTGGTGATGTGTGTACTTTAATAGTTAATCTTGAACATTTCATCACCGAATTTGGTTGCATCATAAACGTTCACTTTATAAATTTCACACAAAAATTGAGTGACTTTAAAGGTCACCCTAGTAACTGACGGGACAACCAGTCACGTTTATCTATCCTATGACAAATTGTCTTCCCAGCCAAAATACTGCAATCTTATTGGTTATTTCGGCATTTGTTAGGCTAACTTTTAAAGTCCCCCCAAAAATCTCATTACTATGTAAACCGAAGTTCAGGTCTTGTTGACATCTAGGTTTTGTAGCGCAATGAGTAGAGAGCTTTCGGTCGATAATTTGGTCGCCAATTCCTGCCTTGATGTAAGTTTCAACTGAAATCACTATTTCTGCAATCATTTGTGTGCTTTTTTTGAAAACCACCCTAGAGTAGAACGAAATTACTATCCGATAGTTGTTTGGAGGCAATCAGCTGGAAGCTTCTATACCCAGTTTCCTACCAATTGCTTACAATTATCTAGTACCAATATGAGTACACCGTGACGGTGAGCCTCCCAACTTAGTGACTGTTGTAAGGCTCCAGTTTTGTATTAAACATTGTTATCAATTAAATTTTGAGGGGGTTGTGGAGATTTGGAAATGTTTCAAGTTGTTATTCATCGAAGACTGACATCAGTTGGAGGAACAAAGGAAACCTGGGAGCACTGGACAGCTGTTTCGTCCTAGTGGAGTCAAGCCTGATGGCCGTGAGGACAAATACTCAACGATGACATTAGGTGGCGGTTCGCGCTATATCGTGAGCTAACAGAAGTTGGAAATATGGAGCATTGGATTCTGACCCAGTGGCTCAATGGTAACGCGCTGGTCGCGGAACCTGAAGGTCGCGGGTTCGATCCCTGCTGGTGGGGTCGTGGGTGCGCACTGCTGAGGAGTCCCATACTAGGACGAAACAGCTGTCCAGTGCTCCCAGGTTTCCTTTGTTCCTCCAACTGATGTCAGTCTTCGATGAATAACAAATTGTTATCAATGTAAACATTTTAACTTGGCATTCTCACACCATTTTACAGTATGACCAGTAGTTTAATTTCTGCCCCCATTATAATGTAATTCACTGATTGGTTAACTTTTACTATACGAATATCTTCAATTGCGGACAAGATCATATTTTATGTGTATACTTATTCACGTCTTTTTTGGATTGATTTATAATTATACTCTCGGAGTAATAAACTCTCCCATCTACCAGCTTGGGTCTTCTCTCTATTCGCCCCGGAGTTGCAGTCAGTGACTCTTGCGTTCTAAGTTGGCTGTCAGTTAAGCGTGCGTATCCTATTATTCGGAATATGTATATAACCGTTGGCGTACGAAGGTATAACAGTGACCATATTCCGAAATTGTCGATAAAATTCGGTCAGCACTCAGGAGGCGACAACATGAAATTGGTGGCTGTCTGGTGATCAATCAACTGAATTACTGTCTATTGATGTATGCCTTATGTTGGTTGTTGTCAGACAATCATGAAAAGTAGCGTCAAATTTATTAGGTGACTAAAATCAGCAGCAAATCTGCACCAAAAAGCGAATACCAGCTGAAGAACTTGAGTGATAGTCGCGCTTTATCGCGAATTGACAGAAGTTGGAAACTGTGAACCACTGAACTTCGACCCAATGGCTGAATGATTAACGCGTTTGCCGTGAAATGTGAGGGTCCTGATTTCGATCTGTAGCCGGGTCGTAAGTGTGTACTAGTGAGCAGTCTCATAACAGGACGAAAAAGCTGTCCGATGCTCCCAGGTTTTCAATAGTTCTCCAACCGATGTCAGTCTATGATGAATACTACCTCAAAAACTGATATTGTAGTTCGATTCAACATACAGAAGTCATATTAGAATTTTTTAGCACTAGAACCTTCTGTAAAGTGGAATAGATTCCCAGAATAGGATGATCAATTTGCAAATGATTTACAAATTGCTACACGATCTACGTTGACATCCTCTACAGCTGAATTGTTCTTCAACTGCTCACACCCACCTATTTTGTCAACAGGGTTTCCTTTGCAAACAAGGTTTGTATGGTCTGTGACCAAAGTGTCATGAAGTAGTGAATGCCAGTGCTTGTAGGAAACCAATACATTCTAATCTATACTTAGATTTCATACCATCTCACCGTATATTTGTCAAGGTAGGTTTTGGTGAAATGTCTAAGTAATCGGGCTAGGAGTTTGACTAGTAGGTCAGAAAACCTGGATAAGCGACTGAAATACACCAAAGATACACTACTTCTCAACAACTATCATCTGAAATTTATTAAAACGTGTACAAGGATTGATAAGAGAAGTATTGTTAGTGTTAATGATGACTCCAACATGTCAAAGAGGGAATGCAGCTCCACCGTAGTGTTGCCATATAAAGTAGGCATATCGGAAGATTTTCTTAGAACTTTCAACAATGCTGGGATAAGGGTGGCATTCAAACCCACAAACTCACTTGGAGAGAAACTTTGTAAGCTAAAAGATGTAGTTGAGACAATTACGGAAAAATAACCTAATCTATGAACTAACATGTATTGATTGTCAGGTCAAGTATATAGGTCAAAGCAGCTAATCAGGATCAGTTAGAATAGTAGAGCATAAAAACACTTAGCGGAACGTACCATGGTGGACCCTACTAAGAGAAGTAATTTAGAGGAGAACTCGCCTATTGCTTTGCATGCACTGATCCATAACCACACAGTAGGGTGGGATAAGGTGACAATTGTAAATTCCAGTATAGAGGTAAGTGGAAGCAGAGATTGGTCCCAGAATCTTCGTTGATTGAATCCACACCTGACAGATGTAAAAGTAATGAATGGTTCATCACATATTGCAGATATCTGGAGATTTTTTTATAGCCATTAAAAGAAGGAATGAAGAAGCGGTGGACAATACAAGAGGAGTTCGAAGGTCGTATAATTACTTTGATATGAATATGAGCAGTAAATTCTTCTCGAAACGTCATCCAGTGAATAATACTGGATCACTCTGTGCTATATTAAATAAACAATCTAATATGGAGTTATACTGTACCACTACAGTGTTCAAGTTTTAGTCTGACAGTAACCCTTTTTAATCGGCTGTGTGCTGAAAGTTGGGTTTTCTTACAATTTCATTCACCATGCATCCTTTTTGTAAGGTATATAGGATGTTACTCAATCAACGTTGCATAAATGTTGCTATTTACTTAACTAATTAATATTTTCAATTAGATTATATTTATGCTATGCATACAAGTTACCCAACTCGGAATCAACCAATTCATGGCATACAACTATCAATAATTCTCCTGTGAATGCCTCACTTTTCAATTCTACTACAAATTTATGCCTAATTGATCTTTTATGCCTAGCAGCTTATCATTTTGTCACAGATGGATTGTTGAAACCTCTTCCAGTGTCAGAATCCAAGAGTACAGTATTCAATCAACGTCAAGCTGAACGTAATCATTTTCTTCTTATGATTAAAGATCATTGTGATACAATCAATAACAGTATTGATGATAATCACAATATTAGACGAAATTCTTATCTCATTGAAGAAGAATGTAAAACTAACTATTCTCTATTCTATCAATTGTACACAATAGTTAGACAACAAGTTGAAATAGATACTTTATAAAACAACAGAAATAACACCACCACCACATGGCTGTGCTTTTTTCTGAAAAATAACAAGTGAATTAATAAGCAATTCAATTTATTCATTTATTTATTATTCCTTTTTCTGATGCACTAATCCTCATTCATGTTTTAATATATGCATACTATTTTGTATAATGTCATTTATGTCATTATATTGCCTGTGTTCGGATATGATAAGTCTTCATGATGACCGTTTGTATACAGCATATATGATCGTAGTTTTGCTTCTCTCTCCCTCAGTGTGTGTATACAATCGCGTGCGTGCGTAGGTGTATGTTTAATTTTGGTCTGCAGATCAGCCTGAGTGATTTCCCACTACCCAAGTTGTTCATTAGTAGTATGTATTAATTTTCGTCTCTTTTCGGCCAATATCTTCCCCAACACAATTTGAAATTGTGTTTGCTTTTTTTAAAAATTTATTTATTTATTTTCGAAACTGTTTTTCACCATGTTTACTTGATTTGTTTCATACTTGACCTCTGTCAAAAGATGTGATATGTGTTAGTGATGTCAATGTTATTTTCCTTTGGATATGATCATGCCAGGGAAATGCATTTAACACTGCCTATCTGATTAACCAACTGACTTTAAACGTCACCTTAGCAAAAACTGAAATAACCAATCAGACTTCTCTGTTTTATGAAAATCTGCCTTTCCAGCCGAACTGAAGAAACCTATTTCGTTATTTCGATAGTTCTATAGGTGGCCTTCAAAATCATCTGATTAATCGCATGAGAATGCATAGTTTGTGGATCATACCATACCATTATCTATCCGTTTGTCTCTTTCTTTCGCCTCTAAAGTCTTCGTTCATTGCGAGGAGGATTATGTGGACAAAGAGAAGGGTTTCGTAGAGGTCTCCTCTGAACTGATACCTGTTGACTGTGTTCCGAATACTGGTTGTCAACTAATTCACTTCTCATATGACTTTTGCAGAACAAGAACAACTAACACTGTAGGATGAACTCAATTCATTTCATGTGCTGTAAATCTTCCACATGCAAATTAAACTTAAGAATGGTGTTCTGTAAGAAACTACTAAGATCTTTCAATTGATTTCATCCAGATGTGAAATTCTCTCATGAACATGAGACGTTAGATGGAATAGATTTCTTGGATTTGAGTATTTTAAAAAATGAAGATGGTTCTATACTACACAGAATTTATCATAAGCCTAATTGAACCGGTTAATATTTGCCATTTAATAGTTTCTGTCCCATCGGTTATAAAAGAAGTTTAGTCAAAACTTTAATTTTAAGGGCAACCAGACTAATGTTCCAAGGAAGTCATCAAAAATGGAACTGGATAATATATGAAAAACTTAAAGATGAGAAATTGAATGATACAACACTGCTGAAAAGGTATGTGTTTATTAGACCGCCATTCAAAGGTGATGAATTCAGTCCACAAGATAATTGCTGACTGAAGTCATGCATTGCACTAACTTATCCAGCTGTAAAATTAACAGTTATCTACGGCTTGAAGAACATGATCAGAGAAACTAATTTAGATATGAGACCTCTTCATATTACCTCCAGTTGTATTTATTTATTTATCCGTGCTTACAGTAGCATGTATGTCGGAAGAACGGAGATGGTTCTTACTAAACGAATCTCTGAATATGTACCGAAAAGCTTGTCACCGAAATGTGGAAGGCTACCAAGCAGTGTCATTGGTAAGCATATCCTCGATACAGGTTATCCCGTCGACTCAAACATAGGTTTTGAGGTAATCAATAGACAAAGAAATAGTAGATTGCAGTAGCGATCCGTCTATTGAAACTGAACTTACGTGTACAAAAGGAGTTTGTAGTTCACCTTGCATTGTCCTGGTGAATTGTTATTTTCCTACAGCTTTATTGTCTTACATGTTATTCGCAAGCATTATTCATATTTTTGATATACTTGTAATTCCCCGTTGTTTATACCAGATCGAATTGTTCGACCTCTATTGGTATATTGGCTCGTATGCGGGTGCCTCGATATTGCCTGAGTATTTATTATGATAACTTATTTGGTTGTGGTTAGCAGGTGAATCCCGGACGCACGTCTCGTCCCATTTGGGACTCGTCAGCTGGATGTACCTGCGCCCTAGTGAGTGATTCCTCTCCTACCCACAATTAAGTAAATTATCATAATAAATGTCCAGGCAATATCGAGGCATCTGCATAGGAGCACATATGTCAACAGAGGTTAAATAATTCGACCCAGTATAACAACAACAGAAGGAAGTGGAGATGGATTGGGCATGCACTGGGAAGACCATTCGAGGACATCACGTGCCAGGCCAGGTCGTCGAGTGGAACCCAGATGGGAGACGACGAGTTGGTTGTCCGAGGGTGACATGGAGGAGATCGTGCGAGGAATAAATGAGAGCTTGTGGGCTGTCGTGGAGCCAGGTCCAAAAGTTTGCAGAAAAGAGAGTGCACTGGAGACGTATGTTCTACTAGGAACCCAAGGGACAAATAATAGTAGTAATAATACTCGCTGTGCAGGAGCTGGCTATCGTGCCTCAATGGCCTAGTGGATAACACTTTGGCATTTGAAGAGATGGGTACGACAGTGGGAGCAACATCACCCGCTGGGGTGGATATACACCCAACTGTCGTTTCCCCGACAAGCCTAAACGTTCGTCATGGACTCCTCTACTAGCCACAACTAAGTAAATTATCATTATTTATATTTCCATCATTTTTGGTTTACTTTAAATTGCAAACTGACTGAAGTTATTGAAAAACAACAATCCGGTAGATGTATCGCGAAACCTGAGGATTTCTGAGTGAACCTCTGGAGCGGGGTTAGTTCTACCTGATACTGAATAAGCCCAAACTGATGAGACGTAATCGTCTATTATTCCTTTAGTTATTCTCTGGATGGGAAAGACATTTAAGTTTGTGACATCTTACTGAATCTAACGATCTGAGTAGTTCACTACCATTCAAATATCCAGCTAGCCCAAAGACTCTAAGACCTGAAACTGTTCTGCGAAATAATATAGTTTAGTTTTCTAACTTCGTTGAATAATGTTCATTCATTCTTGTAAGTTATGTGCTGAGTTGGGGCTGGGGTTCACTAATCAAAGTTCCTGACTATCAACTATTAGATCATGAGTTCAAACTCGCTCCACTTGCTTTCAGCATGTCATCAGATTGTAATTGCATAAACCTTGACAAGTTAGAATTTGTTTATAAAAGAATTTTAAAACTCAAGTCATTTTGATGCGTTACGTCATAAGAATACTTCAATTAGTTTATTTCTTGGTCTCTGAGTGTATCTGTGATTCATTAGTTTAGAGAGTCTCAAATACGAATCTAAGCCCACATACTGCGGTTTGAACAATCACGCTGTACCATTAGCCTATACAAGAAACAGATATGGCTCATTGGTTAGTGTATGGATTTTGCATGTACTGAGAGTGTAACTTCTACCCTTGGTCTGTGTTACATCAGATGTCACAAAATGAATGGATAGCATAATTTTTACTGAAGCCAAACATGCTACTACCTGCGAATAAATGAAAGATCTTAATGAAAGGGAGGTACATCATTTGCTCTATCTCTATCTTCTACTGTACTAAGATTAATAGGATGAGGTCTACAATGACTTTATAATAGCCATTCTTTTATCAGTTCATTTAGAAGCTTTTTCTTGCACAAACATGTGAGGGATTAACTGTGTTGAATTGCCATAGACTTCTGACAGACTGGTACTATTGATACGGAGTGATGATAATTCCAGTCTACCAAAACACGACTATCTTAGATAGTCTTATTGGTAATCAACATGATGCTCCCTTGCTCTGGTTTGAGCTCGATTTAGTTTCGTACAAGAAGACTTGACTGGGCAAATAGTGTGGTTATGATGAGCGAACAGTTACATATCACAGTTTCCATAGTAGTCTGGCAAATCGTTGATGATTAGAGAGAAATGAGGACCTGGTTAGCAGCAGAGTCTCTTAGTTCAGTTGTTAGAGCACTGGGGGGGGGGGGAGGGGGGAGGGGGGATAACTCAGTGGCGAATGGCGTGAATCCTCCTGCAATATAAATTTTCGCTTCACCTCGAATCACCATTCCGTATCACTAAATTAGTGATTACTATTGACATTTGGCTTAATCTATGTGTACATTTATATTACACCAGTGAATTGTATGATTTCAAACAACGAAAAATTCCTGTAGTATTTATAAAAAGCAGCAATCCGAACGAAGAATATTCTTTTCAATAAATTCGCTTCAGGTTCTACAATTATAAAATACATTTGTACGGCGTAAAAACAAGCCATGTCATGGAGTAAGATCTAGGGGTTGTCAGGAAATCGACTTGTCTTTTTTCAAACAGTCAATATTGGGATGATACATATACAGAAGAATGATATGATGGTGAACAAAAAGATAACGAAAACAATGGTAGGAGTGGCCTTTAGTTTACTGAAGGTCAAGGGAGAAGTAACGCTTGAGCATATTCTTTCTGAATTCAGAGTTCAGGTTCGATCAATCTTATTGCGACAGCCTGGCGAGCTACACGTGGTGTCGTTTTTGGAACACGATGAATGACATTGAAAGTTTTATTAGCATCTCTGTGATTCCCTGTGCCAACTAGGTGCGCTAGGACTGAACTTTTCACCACTTTAACTACACCCTTTCCGTATGAAGCTGGTAAATGCTGTCGTATCGGGAGACGCATCTGCCTAATCTTACGCCGTATATAACTAGTTCCACTGGGACAGTTAATTTGACATATGCAGGATAAAGAGCTAAGGTTAGGTTGGTTATCCTTTAGTCTCGGATTGAGCTTTGGCCGACTACTGAATGATCTACAAAGTCGACCTGCATCAAACGTCCTATTGAGTGCTCTGGCTAGGCGTTGTGATAGAGTGTCACTTGCAACATCTTTTAATCCTAACCGCAGAAACTAAGACTTCATCTCCACTGTCATCACTTCTTGTTTAGGACCAGTGAAATTGATGAACTTAACCGGATATCTGTTTTCACTTAGAATATCATGCATATACAGTAGTTTTTTTTTCACACACTCCGTTGAACAAATCGATCTTACTCTAAAAGCCAGGCACCCTGATTATATTGTTTTTACCTCATCGGTACGAAGCTGAAGGAATGCATATACTGTGCCATAGACGTTAGTTTTCTATATATGCTTCTCAGTATAGAGCCATCTTTTTTTCTTATCATTAGCACATCAAGAAAATGGATCGAAATATTGATTTGATTTTCATATGTAAAATGTACGGATGGATGAGCGCTGTTGAAATGGTTCAGAATAGAAATAATACATCTGCATTTACCAAAGACTAAATAAGTATCATCTTTGTATTGACGGTACAACTCTATATTGCTAGTTCGATCTTTCAAAGGACCATTTTCCAATTTCGCCAAAAAGAATTCTATAAATATTGGTTCCAATGGAGATCGCATAACCACTCCGTCAACTTGTCTTTACAGATTACTGTTGAAGATGAACTGGACATTCATTGTCCATTTCAGCAGCAGTTCCTTCGAATTCATAATGGGAATGCTAGTGTCTAATTTGTTTTCCAATAATTGTTCACAAATATAATCGACGGTTTCCACTAGAGGGACATTAGTGAATAAAAACATGACAACTAGGGATTCCATGCATTCGTTTAAAACATTTATTTTTTTAAATATTGTCTACAAACTGGAAGGTGTCTTTGATGCTATATTTTGCTGACTGGCCACCCATAGGTTGAAGTAATCGTACTAGCCACTTAGCGAAAGCATTGTAAGGCTAGTTGGTCACGTCTGGGATAGGACGAAGTGGCATCTTAGGTTTGTGTATTTTTGGTAGACCATAAATTCGTGGGATTACGATATCTATAGATATAAAATTTTCAGATAAGGTTGATAAAATGTATCCATCATCTTTCAGTCTATTTAGTGAGGTGATTAGATCCTTTTCTGCTTTTTTGGTTAGTTCTTTCGTTGACTATAGTTTCTGAAATTTCCTTTCGTCTTGCAATATTAAATTCATTTCATGTACATAATCAACTCTGTCCATAAATACGGCTCCAACTTGTTTATCAAGCCATGTGATGTTGATGTTCTGATCCTTTCTGAGTCTTTTGAGAGCCTTACTATGTTCTCTAGTCAATATACCTCTTGATTTATTTTTATTGTTTTTATACTGATAGCAGCAGTCCACTAGAGTTGATTTAAATCTTTCCAATTCTGCACTATATGAGGTAACCAAATTGGCTGTTTGTGTGAAAAATATGCTCAAATAGTACATCTATATCGATGTGGTGAATTACTTAAGATATACTTCTGAAAAGTACAGGATAAAAGAACCGTTTCAAGTGATCTGGTTTATTTTTAGTGGTCTGAATAAGGTAATTAAGCCTTCATTATCTGACTAACTCATTGTTTAATTACTTATCTGAATCACAACTAAATCTTATTGGAAAATAAAAAGATGACTAGATTTATAAAATAAATTGATGCCGTTGCATTTTACAGATATTCATCATCTGGATACAGCGTAAACTAAGAATCTAGGGTGTCGAAATAATTGAGAGGACAGAAGATAATGAATTGTCTGTCAAAATCCTTGCTAATTTATACAGGATGAAATGAGTAGTTCAGGGGTTGTAAGTAGAGAAAAGTTACTTGAGGAAATGAACAAGTTACACCAGCCTACAGGTACATTATTACTTTTTTCTTTTTAGTGACCTAAAGACCATGGTAAACATCTTAGTAAAACAACGGTTACTCTGTAGGCTTTTTTCGTAACGTTTAGAAATAATACAAAATATTTATCAACTTTTGTAGTTGTTCTAATATACATCGCTGGGATAACACAAGTAAAAAATAATACACCTTATGCGATGAATCATACTAACTCAGTCGGTGTTCAAGTTTTTCCAAACCATGCAGTCCATTATTGGTCAGGATACGTTCAAACTTATGAATACTGCAACAACCAAGGAAAGACAGGGCTCCAATACTTAACTTTTCTAAACGCAAATGTCATTTCGAATGCTTTTGAGGAAAAAAAAGCAAGGGTCATATGAAGAAGTATATGTCTACTCAGCTGGTTGAGCATATACCTTAATTGGTATTCATCATGGACTGACATCAGTTGGAGGAACACTGGAAACCTGGGAGCACTGGACAGCTGTTTCGTCCTAGTATTGGACTCCTGGTCTTTTAAACATTTAGTCCTTTTGATGAATCTGTATAACGTAATAAGAATATGGAGGTTATCTGTTAAATATGTGATATATTTGTGTAATACATTTCGAATAAACTGTCTTGAAAAACCACTTTTGCATCACGCTACCGTATAACAGGGAATCAAACAGTATGATCACAAGGTTTAATTCGGTTATTAAAAGACACACTATGCGACCAACCTCAATATTATCGAGAAGACGAGACCTATGCCTTGAAATAAACATTATCACTACATAAATGACTATGTAGGATACAACTATGTAGACCAATTTACGTAAGTGTGCTCTCACGTATTCAATAGGAAGAGTAATCGAACCATGAAGCCGAGCATATATCTAAATGGCTGGGAAGACAATTACATCCAAATAATCCGATAAATAAAGGGGGCAAACAGATGTCATCATTTATAGGTAAATATATTGCACAAACAGGTCACAGAATTGATCCATTATTTGATGGATACGAGTGTTAGTTGTTGAATAATAACCAAAGTTGCATTATGCAATCTCACTTATTGGAAGGAAAGTCAGTTTCCTCTGTGTGAGGAAACGTTTCACTGATAAGTACCAGCAAGTAAAAAGCATAATTCAGGGATAGCCGAACTACTTAGTTCTACTTACCACCATAGGTATCGATACATCCGCTTAGGAACCCATCTACAAACAGAAATAGGACAATTCGACCCAGTATAGCAACGGGGAATCCCAAATACTGAGAGACAACAACTGATATCCGTTACATAAATGGTAGCTATCGTTCTCCAGTGGTCTAATGGATGACGTTACGGTGTTTGAAGCGATGAGTACTGTGTCCTAGTATCAACAGGAACAACACTGAAATGCAGGTGGATCCAACTGACGAGTCTCGAATGGGACGAAATGCGCGTCCTAGGTCCTTCTGCTAGCCATTAAGTAGGCTACCGCCATATGTGTTGGTTTACTAGTGCGACTATTTGATATAGCCGTTGTTTGAAAGTGGAGTTCAGTCGACGTGCCTGGTATAATATCGAATTATTTGTTTGTCACTGCTTTTAACACATTATTTACTCTGAAGCGAATAACTTGTCTACATATTTAACTTTTCTTGATGGATGACATTTGCCAGTTGCTTTGCTTGATCACCTACCTACTATCTAGTATTAGACAAAGCATATGATTTGTTTGGCGTATTGTCACATGTCCAGTTGCTTTTTTTGTTGCAGATACGGGTGACTATTATTAGTTTGCCTGTGTTTCATTATTTTTCATCCCTTGAACTCATACATCTTTCCTTCTTTATTTAGGCTGTCTGACCAGTTGACTAGATCACACTCTAGCCCACAATAATGTTATCTTGTCTGACGGTCAGACAATGTTCACCTCAGTTTATCACATTACAAAGGTCAACAGACGTCAATTCTTATTATGAGTCATCACATGATCAGCTGATGCAACTTATGCTTCAAAATGTGTTCATCATGCCTGACTAAAACAAACAGTCTTCACATGTGTCTGTTGTGTGACTATGGTTTAACCAATTGGCTAGACGTGAATGGTTGAATAAGTAAGGCGTTTCCAGCTCATAGATAGGTCAACTGTTCATGAGTCAGTCAAGGTCAATTAGCATGTGTTTAGATGTGATTTAAATCGTAAGACAAACAACCGCTTTTCATTCCTCATTAATGATGTCTCGTGTCACGTCTAAGCGTCACGATAGTGGATTGTCAGATTATGGCATGAATCCTGTTACAGCTCAGTACATTTTATTCACATCATTACAAAAGCTTGATCAAGCTAAACGTTCTCGTGGAGGAATTAGACTTCGTCATGGTCTTATGATTGCTGTTACTGCTCTGAAAGCCAAACAGCTACTATGGGGACAGAGTCAACCTATCCATGAAAATGAATACACATCAAAAGATACATTAGAAACCCGTCTACACACTGAAGATTATGGTTCGGTTCATATGGAATGTGATGTTTACGATCAACCAATTGTAAATCAAGAGTTCAATGACTTTTCGTATCTCCATGATCCAAGTAAGTATGCCTTATTTCATCCATGTTTTTGACCCTAAATCAGTTTTTACGGTTGATCTATTCAATGATGAGGTTTGTTTTTCTGTTGCTTATGTTCATTAGATTTAAAGACTCGGTACACCAGCAATCGCATATACTCAGTTCTTTTACTAGCTTTTGTTATGTCTAAGACATGATGTATTACTAAATTGTGAATGTATTCTTACTGTTTCTTCACTACCCAAATTCCAAATCAGGTATCTCTTGCTGTGTAGTTGCTTTCAACGTATACAAACAAGCAACTCTCATTTACACCAGTTGTGTATAGGATTTTAAACTGGTTTCTAAGCTTTTTCACAAACTGTTGGATATATTTTAGTTAACTCAGTTGCCAGACAATTAAAGCTCTAGTGTGTGACTGATTATTGTTGGCTTCGAAATTTTCGTAGAATCACTGGCACATAGACTTTTATGTGTACTTAAGTGGTACGATGTCTTCATATACTTAAGAGAACGATTTTCCCCGAGATAATTGCGTTTTTTTATAAAGACATTATTGGGTGTTTATTATGCTTCAAAATTAATCCAAAGCGGTAACTAAGTCAAGTGACCTCCAACCTATTCGGCGGTCGCTAGCATTAGAATCCGGGACTCACGTCTCAGCTGATAAGTTTGATCCAGTATGTGGGAATTCCACACTAGATTTGCTTATTTGTAAACAAAGTAGGAGGCACTTAGAAGAAGTAAGGGAAAAAGAAGTCAACACGTTCTATAAAGCTGTGAGAAGAAAAAAATAAGAAAAAAACGTAATAGAGATTTGGCTTGATGATTAACATAATGTGTGGATGCATCTGCGGCATTGAGGTCGATTCTAAGCCATGTCACTTAGATCCTTCAAACATCCGTTTCAGATGTTGCACTTGTCTTGGTGATTAGCAGTGGAACCCGGAACGTGCGTCCCATCCCATTTGGCACTCGTCAGCTGGATTTACCTGCATCCCAGTGAGTGGTGCTACTACTAGTAAGACGCAAACCCAGTACCCATCGCTCCAAACACCGAGATACCAGCCACTACTCCACTGGAGCAACCTCGTCTGGTTAACTAGTTCACTAGTTACTAGTCGGTCCTAAGCCCGGGTAAAGAGGGAAGGTTGGGCATAGGGCTAGCAACCCTACCCCGTAAAACAAATCTAACCGCTAAAGAAACTTCAAAGCACAAACAAAATATAAAAAATGAAAACAAACTTATTCCCCACTGGAATCGGAGAGGCGAAATGACACCAGTTGGTGAAAGCCTGCCTTCGGGAAGCCAATTGGCCGATTTGTCTTCTCTCCCTCGATGAAAGCGAAAGTAAACGTGGGGAAATGGAATGTCTCCACTATGTTTGAACCTAGCAAGGCAGTCCAGATTGCAAATGAGATGAGAAGGTATCATATTGAAGTGCTTGGAATTTGAGAAAGCAGATGGAATGGATGTGAACTCCTCAAACTGTCAATTGGAGAGTCAATATTCTGCTCCGATATTGTCTACCAGACGACAACCACGAGCACACTGAGTTATGGAGTGGCTATCATGATGTCCTCAAGAGCATCGAAGGCTCTCATGCAGTGGGAACCAATCTCCTCCAGGATCATGACAGCAAGATTCAACTCGAAAGGAAGGAAGGTAACAATCATACAATGTTATGCACCTACAAATAATGCAGATGAAGAGAAGAAAAAGGAGGATTTCTACAGACAACTTCAATTAACACTGGACAAGACTTCAGTTGGCGATATCAAAATTCTAATGGGTGACATGAATGCCAAACTGGGAGGGGACAACACAGGAAGAGAACAAACCATGGGTCGAGAGGCGCTAGGTGAAATGAATGAGAATGGAGAATTGTTTGCAGAATTCTGCGCATTCAACGATTTGGTGATTGGAGGCATTGTGTTCAGGCACAAAGATATCCACAAAGCGACATGGATTTCACCAGATGGACACACTAAAAATCAGATCGACTTCATCTCAATCTCAAGAAAGTGGAGACTCAGCCTACTGGGTAAAAGATCGGATCACGAAGAGGAGCAGATGTAGGTTCACACCACTGACTATCTAGTGCAATGAACCTTCCAAATCAAGTTGAAAGCCTTCAAAGAAGTTGGTGATAGACCACAATCCAAGTACAACACTCGAAAACTGAAGGATGAAACTACAAAGGATATCTTCACGTCAGCCAGCCATCAAGACAAAATGGGAGACATTGAGCAACATCCGTGAAGAAACCTGTGTAGAAGAACACTGGAAGTCTTTGAAAGAGATGTGGAAAGAAATCTGCACAACAGTATTAGGAAGGAAGAAGAAAGAAGACAGGACAGGGAATGGATCTCGATGGATACCTGGAAGCTGATAGGGTAGGGAGAGGAGGATGGTGAAGCAGAAGATAAACCAGTGCAGTGAAAGGATGCACAACGACAAGAGGAACTGAGTACAATGTATAAAACACTACACTGGACAAAGAAGTGAAGAAGAAGAATGCGCGCAAAGACAAAATACACTTCTACGACACATTGGTAAATGAAGGAGAACAGACTGGCTGCAGGTAGGAGAGATAGAGGAGAGAGACCTGACAACATTGTATCAAATAACCGAGTTACTATCTGGGAGGGAAGAGATCAACGCAGATGAAACCAGTCGAAGATGATGACGGAAATTTAATTACGAGAGAAGAGAAACAAAGGAAACAATGGGCTGACCACTTCAAGAAGCTCTTGAATCGAGCACCACCACCACCTGGACTTCGTCCAGAAATACCACCAGCAACCACAGAACTACAAGTGAACACAGGCCCTCAGACAAAAGCAGAAGTCCTGAACGCCATAAAGCTACTGAAGTGGGGGAAAGCAGTAGGACCAGATGGAATCCCGTCAGAAGCACTGAGAACAGACGGAGAGACAACAGCGGACATGCTCACACCACACCACTATTGCAGAAGGTGTGGAAGGAAGAGAAGGTATTTGGCGATTGGAAGGGTTACCTTGTTAAACTGCCGAAGAAAGGAGACCTCAGTGTTTGCAAGAGCTGGTGCGGAATCACTCTCCTGTCCACCCACACCAAGCAAAATATTAAGCCGCATCATCCTGGAGAGGCTTAAAGATGCACTGCATTCAAAACTACGACCAAAGCAGGCTGGCTAGCTGGATTCAGGAAGTACAAATCATGTGCAGACCAAATTGCAACGCCACTCTATGCATCATCATAGAACAGAGCATAGAATGGCAATCAGCTCTCTACCTCAACTTCATCGACTTCTAGGAGGCCTTTGACAGCGTCGACCGAGAAGTAATTTGGAAACTGCTTCACTACTACGGAGTACCGCAAACCTTTATCCGCCTCATTCAACAACTATATGAATATGCCACATGCCGAGTAATTCACAATGGGAAGCTTAGTGATGATTTTGTAGTGAAGACAGGAGTGAAACAAGGTTGCCTACTATCCCCTATGATATTCCTTATTGTGGTGGACTGGATCATGCAGCAAACAGTGGGCAGCGAGAAGAGGGGGATACACTGGACTGCGGAAAAGAACCTAGAAGACTTGGATTTCGCCAACGATGACTTGTGCCTGATGTCACATAAACTTGAAGATCTACAGGGGAAAACTAACAAGTTGATAGAAGAGGCAGGGCAGCTAAGACGGGACTTCAGGTGAACATAGAGAAGACAGAAGTGATGAAGATACCGCACCACCACCATCAACAACAACAACAAACTCCAGTCACCATGAATGGGAGAAACGTAAAGGAAGTAGCCTCCTTCACCTATATAAGCAGCACTGCTTCAACTGCAGGTGGTGGCACAGGCACAGACGAGGACGTCAAATTCAGGATCGGAAAGACAGCAGGACAAGCGTTCATTAGCCTGAAACCAGTGTGGAGATCTACTCCACTGCACTCAGCATGTGGAACAAGATGCGATAACCACCACTTATGCAATGAGTATCATTTGTTGTTTATTGATGTTTATAATTTCACTTTGCTGTCCTGGGTCGAATTGTCCGACCTCTGGTGACAGACAACAGTTTCGGCCGTTACACAAACCTAAACTGGGAAGCCTGCACAGAGCAAGCTAAAAGTTAGAGACTTCGTGGACCGGTTCCATACTTTAACCTGACCACCTTTAACCTTTATGGATTCTGAGCTTCCTTATGCTGATGTCGCACAATGTGGCAGTCGGTGACTCAGTATGCCTAGCACACTTTGCAGCCATCTGAGTCGCTGGAAGTTTTCAACCCTCTAACCTTAAACTGTATACCTGACTTCTACTTAACTAACTTGGTGGCACTGCAGCGCATAACCTATGCTACGAAGGCAACAAGAGTCACATACCTGGTGTCATCTTAGGTACGGGTTAGTGTTAAAGCCGGATTACATCAAACCCAGAGACATTAGAAAGGGTCATCCACTCGTATCTCATCTTGGTTTTTGACATTACACATCAAACCTCCAAGATGTTCTTCTACTACTGCATTTTTAGAATCATTCACATGTGATAGGAACAGTTGGCACTGTGAACGTTATGAATATTAGCGAAGAGTAAGCCTAACCGGTTAGGTCGACTGAGGTAGCTGGGGGATCGCCACGCATACCTAGCCTAAAGTCTTTTCAGATGTGCTATGTTGGCTAGAAATAAGGCTGCTTAGATGATAGAAAAATGAAAAGTATGACCGGATGCGATATCATGCTGGTTTTTTGGCCTCAGCAGCGCACGGAAGTCAGCCTGGTTCGGATCCAAGTCAAGCAAAATTAACATCTAGGGAGTGAAGGTGTGACACAAAGTTTATCAAAGGTTCAGACACACCCATGTCTTATTAGCCCTGTAAATCGAATAATTAAACTTGATTCCTTCTACCTTCTGACTTCCTTACGTCTGTAGACATATTTTGCCTTCCCTTTTGTCAACTTCATCTCAGTATACTAATGTGAAGTGCGGCAGGCAGTATGAAGCTGTGGGCACAGTCATATCAGATTCATCATTGTTTACTTCCGCCTACCTGTCCTTCGTGTTTGGTTATCGAACCAAGGATTTTGGATTTGCACAGCTGCTTATGTCCTGATTTTTATTTCATTAAGAATGGCGTTTTCAGTCGCAATGAAATTGTACAACTTTCCTGTGGCGTGGTTTATGTTATTACCATCAGGATGTTAGCCCCATAGGACTTGCGAAATTCTGACAGCTGTTTTTAAGTTGTGGGTTGATATTCATCACGGACTGACATAAATTAGAGAAACATTGAAAACCTAGGAGCACTGAACAGCCGCTTCGTCCTAGTATGGGGCTCCTCGGCACTGTGGGCCCGTGACCCCGCCACATATCGGACCCAGGGATTTCAGGTTCCGCAGCCAGCATGTTACCATTGATCTACTGGGTTGGAATCCGATGGTCTGCCTTTCCCACTCCTGTCAGTCCACGATATGGCTCAACCTTCATCCGACAAACTAAGTTCCAATTCAACTTGGGTCTTGGATAACGGGATTAGAAGATGTAGATTATCTGAAAAGTGTGATGTATTTGCGCTATACATTTCGAATAATTTGATCACAGATTTCCTTGTTAAAGCATTATATTTGAAAACTGGAAGTGAAGGACACATGACATGGAGTTCAATAATAAAGAAGATAATGAGAGGAAAAAAAGATAAGATTCGAAGACACCTTTGGTAATACGATAAAATAAGCATTATCAGGGTAGGCTTAATGTAAGGACAAACTGTTTTTGTACACACAATGGGGGGTTAAATTTGTTTATGGCTAGCACTTCAACAAACCCAAGTATACACTCCTGACAGTTTCTATACAATATTATAAAGGCTGTTTTAGTATCAGTCCTGTGACTTTTATGAATGTTTTGCACTGGATGATGACGATAGTTTTCTGCCACCTGTGCTTATCAGTGTTTATGAATCTATCTGTTTTTGTAGTCATTTTGGTACATGATCCCCTACCTCTCAAGCGCATGTCACGATTAGTCCTCCCTATGTATGTTTGTCCACATGCATGAGATGTATAGTGTAAATACATCACTTTTTTCAGATAATCTGCGTCTTCCAATTATGTTATCTAAATTCATAAAAAGGACTAATTGTTTCAACTTAGATCATTAAATGTGACCCAAGTGATTGCTCTATCAGTTCAACAGCAACACTATAATTTTTAGTACATTGAGCAAGTGTATCAACCAGAGGTTAGCAAAACCAATGACTTATCCTTTGAATTAAAAATGAAGAGTGGCCATTTTTTGTCCTGTCAATTAAGCATGATTGAAAAATGCGTTTCTAGTGCTAAACAGTGTGAAGAATAAATACTCATAAGGTGAGAAAAGACACCAAGCATCAAGGATTTGTTATTTTGGGTGCTTATCATAAACTACCTGAGGTTCACATTCCTTTCTGTGTAAAAATTTCTGCATCTGACCTGCGAATCTGAGTTTCTGTATTTACAGTGAAGTGCCATTTTAGTGCCTGTTGCTAATGATTGCGAGCTTTAAATTAGACAATGCAAGTTAGCCTTAATGAGGGAGTTGATCAAAATCAGGTAGATTAAAGTAATTTAATGTCCTAAATCGGTTTGTAGGGGTATGTGTTACAATTCCGTAACGTTTGATCAGCCCTACTTGATGTGCTCTAGTACCTGCTTAACCAGTACTTTACCTAACCTGTAAGTACTGATAACAAAACACAAATCAAAAGAACTGATACACGATGTATTTGAAGGAGCTATGTATTTAATTAAAGTCAGTGTAATAATAATGAATGGGGGAAAAGTTTAATCAACTTATCTGGCTTGTAAGGCTGAACTAGGGACTCGGAGTGCGTGCGTGGTAATCAGCACAATGGAGTGCAAAATGGCGTCCAAGCCTACTCGGATGCATTCTCGTTAAAAAAACAACTTAAAACACCCTAAGCGTCCAGAGGCAAGCTGGAGATTTATTTAGTTAATTTAAACTATTTATTTTAGCCCTAGTTATATGTTGGTGCCAGGAAGGTGCACTACAGGTTTATGAATGCGTAAATATCAGTGAAACTATATAGAAATATTTTTAAGGTGCTGTGCTTATCCTGTCTCAGATGTTCAATACTATTGGCCAAATCCACTTCTTAATGTCACTGTGTTACTATGTATGGACTAGCATTTAGATAATAACGCATTTCAATCCTACTTATGTACACTGGTTTTCGATACCTTTGGGCTTGAGATCAGGGGACAAGGTAAGGAAAGCTTATAAGAGTGTATATCAGGACAATAAGCTTTAAAGTCTCTCAGAAAGAATCTGGTTATTCATTGGTGAAGCAAACAAACAAGTGCTTCACATTAATATTACTTAAACTACCTTCAACACTTCTACACTGTCAGTCATAGTCTACTGTCTGAGGTGTAGCTTTCAATCATTTGTTCTTCACATGATGAATCAAGCATCATGTTTCAATTTGCCAGATTATAAGAAGCTTATCTCGTTCACTATTTAAGCGTGTAAATATTTAGGAATAGTCTAATTGGTGGTTGAATCAGTTGTCTAGGTTATTTGACTTTCAAATCCTGTGACCGATGTGTTCGAACCGACTCCATATAAAATAGTTCAGGTGGTCGATTAGCATTATTATTCTTTATTAGATGTACATAAAAGTACATATGGTTACTAAGCTGCGTTATTTATTACATAATGTATCATCACCAGATGCTTATTTCTGTAATCTCAAAGACTAGCCAAGAAGCTTACACAGATCAATCCTGCGACCAGAGTCTGGATTGACACAATGTTTTATTTTTCTCGTTTTTAACTATCACCTCACACTGAGTTTGACAGTTGTTTAGATGTGTGTGAACCTTCGCAGTGCAATCTGATTTCATGTCATTGGGTAGCAAAATCGTTGACAGCAAATTCTATATCTAATTCACATTTGTCAAGACTTACTCTTTACAGATGTGGTTATTTTTTTAGAAATCGGATGGAAATCAACTCAGTGACCTTATGCTAGTGTTTGTGCGATAGTCAGTGAGTCACAACTATTTCACTGGAGGTTAAGGATGCTCACTACCTGACTGTCCACGTCTCGGTAGGTGGAGCAGCGTTCTAACTCGTGACTTGTCGGTTAGAAGTTGAGGGTCTAGACCAATGGGCTACCAATTAGTTACAAAAGAGATTCTGTCTGATTAGGTGGTTAATACAAAAGTTATTTATTACTGAATATCTTTTTCCCCACCGATAAATAAACTGTTGTCTATTCATGTTTGGCTAACTATACTGGTTTAGAATAGGCTATCTGTAAAATAACTTATCATAAAACTAGTAAGATTAAAAATTGTACCAATTCAGTAACACTTAGTTTATGTGTATATTGTGTAGGCAAGTTATACAATTTGGCTGACAACGGTGAGCTGAGTAAAGGTATCAGCATATGCCTACTCACATGCGTAGGTGGAGCTATTTCACTAGTCTCACTAGTTGACTATACTAGTACCTGCATGTGTTCCAGAAGTTAGACAGTATGATCACCTCTTACAAAACCGATGTGTTTCATCGATAAGTGCACGAACCTGTACGCGGTTACCGTTTTTCACCCACTTAACGGACTAAACTAAGCGAAAAATAGTGAGCGATAAATTATTTAAACGCAATTGTACGGATTGTGGAAACAATATCTCCGAAAACAAATTTGTTCACTGAAGTATTTCATTTTTTATAACTGAGCAGGAATATTCAGATCTCATCCAACTAGATAACACCTATAAAAACCACTTACTACCTCGTCATATTAAGAGTTTATTTTGACAAGTTCATCTTCAAAGTCATGTCACAGCTGTTTAAACAGTTGAATTTCAACCACTGAATCTCCGTCACGTCAACCAACTAAAATTTTAGCACTCACACGATAAATGTGTTGCGTATCCTTTTACGCGAAACCACTTAATGAGTAGGTTGTTTCCTGTGATCGAATGAGCAGTTTTGTTTTTCAGTGGTAGACAGTAAATAATTCAACAGTGAATCTTGTTCACTATGGATTTTTGAGACTACGTATTGCACAGATGTCTGCTATCTGCCATCTTTTTATTGAACTCATTTAGGGATACTTCATTTGAAGATAACCTCTGTGACTGACTGACTGAGGTGTGTTCTACCATCGGATGCAAGATAAGTTCCTTCAAGGGTACAAAACTAAACGTAAAGTCTGAGCACTTCAAATTAATTCCAAACGTTAAACAAAAAAAGTATCATTCTACTTTATGCATAGTATGTAGCATTTTTTTTACTTGGAAATGAACCTCTCTAACATCTAAGAGACGACTGATTAAAAATTATTAAAATTCCTATTCTTCTGAACAGAAAAGAAAACAGTTGTGTTTCACAATTGATTTTGATAATTCATGTAACTACTGTCAATGATGTTTATCTATTAGTGACCAGACGTTTAATCTAAGACATGTCTCACCCTGATTAGCAGTAATCAGGTTGATGCGCTTATGCGTCTTGTTTCGCTGTTGTTGTCATTCCTCGGTTAATACATCAGAGCATTATCCACGACTAAGTTACCTTGAGACGTGGTTACCGCTTACTTACCAGGAGTTGAATATCTTTTGGCATATATCTCCATTCATAATGTATTTACATTATTCACCTACTAGCCTCTTATTAAAATTATTTCCATTTACTCTCCTTTTTAGGTGGACCGTTTTTCCCCCCACCAGTTGATGACATGATGGAAATTGATAATACAGGCATGATCGATTGTCCATCTAAACGTTCACGTCTAGAATATGCATTTCCATCTACACCGGTACTACCATCATACAATGAATCTTATCTCGTCAGTATTAAATGAAGAGAAGACGTTTCATAATTAGGGGATATGCTCAGTCTGAAGAAGCGCATACCTCATACATCTTCCCTGTGATACATGAAGCATCTTGCTATCCTTTCCTTTACTCTTCTTTTTCTGTGGCCTATAAGATTTCTGTACATTTTGCAAATAAGAATTGAACTTACAAGACGTTCGACTAAACTCTTTCCTTTATTGTCATTACAAGAGATGTAGAACACTATTTCTTCCTCATTTCCTTCCTTCGTTTTCAGTATTACACATAATAAGATAACTTCCTGTTTAGCTGTTTCATTTAATTCGCACTCATTTCTTTGAATGCTTCATTCCAGTATCTTTTTTCTAACTAAAGTGACATTTTGTACATATATGTAATCGATTCGAAACAATTATTACTACGTATGTAAAACATATGAAGTGTTGTAAAAGACTTTGGTGTTCATTGAACGAGTAGGATTACCTTTTAGCTCAATGGGTCTCAGATAAACAACCATTGTAAATCAAAAGGTAATGTTGATTAACCGTTTTGTCTTTCTTTGAGAATCCTCGTGCATGCTTTTTAGTAGGTAAGGGAGACAGAATAATCTCGGTTACTACACTTGGTAGAGGCGATTAAGCCGTCAAATATTCATCTTGGATTAATTTGATCGATAAGTTGTCACAATTCAAAGCTTTTAGTTTATTCTAAGCTATTGACCATTTGGTCACGCGTTTGGATCGTATTTCACTTCATTCAGCTTCGGAAATCAAATAGTGTCGTCAGTCCTTACGCGTTAAATAACAGCAGCACTGACCATGTTTCGTGGTGTCACCACTTGAGTAACGCAGAAGTCAGGCGTAGACTTTTAGGGCGTAGAGGCAAGACGGTCGGTGCTATTGTGAACCTTCATCGACTAAGATGGCTGGGACCTAGCCACTGTCTGTATCGTCACAAAATGTTGGCCGAAGTAGGTTCAGGCTGGAAAAAGGCTTGGGATGGCCGGAATAAAAGGTAACATCAACGCATGAAGTCTTTAACTGTCAGTTTGAGCCATATAGGGCGATGCGGACTAACCGGTTAGGGTTCAGGGGGACGAGGAACCAGTGTTTAGGGAGTCTAGGTGATATGGCTCAGAACCGATGTCAGTGACACAGATGTATACACACATGATCTTCGTCCTAACCCCTATACTTAACCTCATCATTTTCCCGTTCCTTCGTCTTCCATTTTATTGCCTTGTTACTTGGTGTTTTGATATGAAATGTCGCAACTTTGACCGTTGCGCAGTAATGCTTGGTCTTGTGTTGATCTTGATGATGTTAAGTAACGGTTCGTAGTCTATTGCGTAAATCTGTGCAGAATGGTTCAATTGCATCTGAAAGTTTATTTTACAAATATAGAGATTGAAACATGTCGCAGTGTTTGACAATTTCCTACGTTCATTTCTACTTTGAGCTGTTGCCAACCGGGTTCAAACATCCGTGTTGTATCAAAACTACAACTCAGAAGCCGCGTACGTGGCTGTAAGTAGTGGTCGACAGTTTTGCAAAAGTGGCGCTCTGCCCAATCAGACGAATTTTACACAACTTCCTTTTTCCGGAAAGCACTGCCCTCAGTGCGACCGAATTCGCTAAGTGAGTGAGTGGTCTTCCGTGGAAATTTGAACACCGCAATAGGTAGATGGATTTGAAGTATTGCTGAAAGAAACAGGTTATGAGCTGCTGCGGAGAAAATCACCACCACATGATGTATAAGAAACAGAAATACAGTGCACCAGTGGCCCTTTCGTGTTTAGATGCTGGGAATTGTCATTAGTGCGATGTGAGCTCAATTACAATGGCTCGATCATCCTGGCAGGCTCGCTAACATTAAGGTTTATCCAAGTCTGTTTGGTGATATTCGGCCTACAGAGAAAGATGGTGATTCCCTTACAGATCAGCAGAATTTGAAAGTTAGACGACGGAAAACAACTACGTGAGTCATCTCAGTAAGCTTATGGAGGTGCACATACACTTGAACAGCTTTTAAATGGAAGTGGTACTCTCCCCAGACGGACAGACCTTACATATGTACTGGGCTGTGAATTGTTTTCAGTATGTAAAGATAATTAGTCCTACCTGGTTTGATTCTCAGCAGGCGCAGTGAGTTGAATCTTATAAACAAGTTGTGATACTTGTAATTTCCCCTTGCTATGCAGGGCCGAATTGCAGATGGGTTCCTATGCGGATGCCTCGATACCTCCAGATATTCATGATGTTCTACTGGTGTTGGTGACTAGCAGATGGATCCAGGACGCGCATTTCGTCCTATTTGGGACTCGGTGTATCAAGGGGAAATTACAAGTATCAATAAAGCAACTGATGCCTGTTCTACAAGAGGGTGGCTACCATGCCCCAGTGGCTTAGTGGATGAATGCTTGAAGCGAAGGGTACTAGGTCCCAGCTTCAAAGGGAACAACGTCATTGTGGGGTGTAGACACATCCAGCTGACAAGTCCCAAATAGGACGAAACGCGCGTCCTAGATTCCTCTACTAGTCACTAAGATCAATATAACCAAGTTGTTTGGCGGTCAAGTATCTGCACTAACATGTAACACATCGTAATTTGGAGTAGAAGGTTCACGATATGCAACCCTTTCACCCACTCACTGGATGTCACCTGTTGTAGTCAGTGGTTTTGAAGGAATAGTAAACTTTGCTTTCAAGAACAAATGGTCATTTCTATCCTGGATACACGTATTGAAACTTCGGAGCTGCATTAGATTTTAGGAATAGATAACATCGAGTCATTAGTTAACACGACAGGGTCGCGTTATAAAAGTAGCGTCGGAAGGTATTATTTCTAGAGGATAAAAAGGGATTACCTAGTGATTGCAGGTTAGTGAAAATAACCAGATTTCTCCAAAATGAATAAACAAGGGTCCTGGTGTAAATGATACTAATAAACTAGTTAGTATTGAACTAATCGAAGTAAAAGGACTGAGATCACGCTCAACTTATATGTTAGCGCCGTAAAGAGTGATGTAACATGTTGTTTTGATCTTAATCGCTTACGAATGAACTTGTGAGTACCACTATTTTAAATGACAATTGTAAAAATTGTTTCCTTCCGGCTGATGTTCCATTTTAGAGGCTGCATTTAACTCAGTAAGACTGGTAACAATAATGTAAGACATTAGGGGTTCATGCATTTTGCGTGCCTCGTTGACTTACTGCAGATCCTGTATGTAAATAGCTAGATAGACACTGTCATGGTGGTTGGACAGGTATTATCTATAACTCTTCCGCTTACTGACCCAGAATAGTTGAGCTTTATCTTCGTGACTGGGTAAACATATTGTGAAACTCATCTGAACCATATAGACTCGAAGGTTAACTGGAAAGTGTTGAAACCGAGAACCGCTAATCTCAAGCCCGCGTATGAAATTGTACTGGAATGCAACAGCAATGAATTGTTTCCTTTGAGCTAACCAGTATTCCCAGTCATGCCGTCTGCTTAGTGTTTATTTAAACTAAGGGTTCGTGAAATGTCAAACGTATAAGTAACGATCCTTGTTACTCAAAGTTCCAGCAATAAGAGCTTTACAAAGTGTGAGGCCCGTGGAACGAAATCATATACTCCCGGAAGGCTGCAAGAAGACTTTCCATAGGCTCTTAGGTCAGGCTCCAAGGCTGATAAATCTTTCAGTACTAATTAAGTGTATTTCTCAAAGACATCAAAAAGAAGCAGTCAGGATGTTCCACACAGCTGCAGTTCCTCGGTACCATTTGAATCTCTTCTCATCATCGTCAAACTTCTTTACTAATAATGCCTTCTAGATTTTCCCATTTACTTGATCTTCTCTTAATTTCTTATTTCATGCCAAAGATACGAACTGAGGAACTACCTGTTGGAACAATTAATTAATATCGTAAATAACAAACCTCACCAACCAATTTCTAACAATCTTAGCAGCAAGCACATTTATGCTATTTTTCTGAAACACAGTCCATCCTATTTTGCAAGAGATAAAATGGACAATTGTAGTAATAAGATTTCCAAAACCCGTATGAAGATATGATGATGAATCCGAACCACTGCCATAGATTTCTAGCTGTAAAACCTCCAGCCATCAATTCTAGTTCTCTTACCAACCCCAGCTAAGATCCTTACACGCCAGAGGCAACTGTAGGTAGCTTCACGAAACCATAACATATCTCAAAAGACACAAAGTAATTCATCGAAGAAAATTTTCTTTTTACCAAATCATTCTCACTAGCTATACAATCATATTTATAGTAGTAGACAAAAAAATAAGTCTGTCATTGGCTAACAGGTCATCAAAAAGGAATGTTCTGAGGTGAAAAAGTAACATGTCTCTGGGATTGGAAAGAGACTGGTCTTAGGTTGTATGAGGAAAATGTGAGGTCGATCATGAAGATGACTAAAGGGTTAAATAGTAATAATACTAATGGTAATCAACAATTGGAGTATTATATTACGAGAATTTTATTAGGAGATTGGAATCAACATGTTAAGTCGTAGTGAAGTAAATTATAAAGCAAAACAATAAAAATAACCAGTCAGTAAGACGAATATTGAAGTAATAAAGAAACTCACGCGAGGATTATGACTACGGCAAAAGAAGAGAATGGACATAACTTTTCTGTATGCAGAGCTCTGCCTTTAATTGTTGGGTCGTTAGTGCCTCTGCTTTACATAAGTGACATTTGGCTTGACTTTGCTCAGGATTGTAGGGAAGCTACATGACCAGAGTTACCCAAATGATCCAAGATGGAACTGTTGCTTGGCTTGCATTCTCCTCTAGACAAGAAAGTGAGATACTTCTCAGAGATGTGCTCGTAAAGACTGTGCTTTGTGCACCGTACATGCCCAGCTCCACGAGAGCAGGTAAACTGACAGACAGATATGTGTGTGGTGGAAAGCCGCAGTTTTTTCTTCACACTACCATGAATCAACAGTCAGTAGGAGAAGAGCATTTGGCGTTCGGCAGCATAGAAATTTTCCTGAATACTTTGGAGAG